CCGCGCTGCGCGCGCAACCCGCGCAAGGGGGTGGAGGCCAGGGCCGGGAGGGGAGGGGTGGGCCGGGAGCAGGCGCCCGCGGCCAGTGCGCCTCCGTCTGGGGGAAGCGGGGCAGGGGCGCCCGTTCTCCTGCCCCTGCCTAGGACGGGGCACTCCGCAAAGCGCTGTGCTGGGCAGCGGGAGGGCAGGCAGCACCCAGCTCTCCTCACCCAATGCCCGTGCCCGCGGCACGAGTGTTGAAACAAAGAGCTTCGCTCCCCAGTCAGGATTGAATATGACTGCTCAGCCCGGATACATTATTCGCAGCGCTGGGGATCGCTTCGCCACGAGTGCCACCCTTACGAGCAAAACACTCTGACTAATCTACACAAAAAGCATACATATGCATTAGATTTCTTAGAAAAGGCAGTCTTATGCTAATAAGTTCTCAGAATTCATTTACAGAGTCTGAGCATGCGTAGTAAAATAGAGTGAGGGTCTTCTCCCCTCTTAGGGGTCCCCACAGCCTTTCTTACACTGTCCCTTAGTGAACTTTTATGTTTCTAGTGTCCATACGTGGTTATAGAGTTACTTCATCCGTCCTTCAGCTCCTGTTTGTTCCAGCTTAAAACACTTACCTTGATACTGGCGTCTTCTTAGGCACTTATTTTCTTTAGGCTCCTGCTATTAAGGATGTACTCAGGGAGTTTTTCAGACTGTCCAAGGTCTGTCTTATCTTTACTAGGCAAGGAGTTAAAGGTTTCAAAATATCTTACAAGTGGGTAACGGGGTGACAACTACAGAGGGTAATTAGGAAAAAGTATAAATGAAATTATGTACATTGCAGTAAAATACAGGAAAAATACAGGAAACAATAAAAGCCAGTAAACTACAAATGATGTCTAACATTAAAACTAAATGTCTTATATTACAGATCCCTGTACGTTAGCAATTTCAAGCATACTTGTGACAACCTCCCTTCAATGTGGCCCATTATTTTATGCCCATTAAAAAAAAAAAAAAAAAAAAAAAAAAAAAAAAAAACTACGTTTCCTGTCGGCACCCACGACGTGGCTTCGAGGTGGTTAGCTGTGGCACTGGAAAGACCTGGCAGCTGGGAGCTAAGCATGCACTGCGGCCCATATCGGCAGAGCTGCACAAGCACCAGGCGACCGGATTCAGTAGTTCTTCGTCAGCCACCAGCATAAATCCTCAAATTTCAGCGGTTTCTCTTGCGTCATGCCCTTACCGCCTGAGGAGTCCCGGCAGAGGGCAGAGTAGTCACACCGGAGCGTTTTCACGTGGGAACGGAAATCTTCACTCCTCGTTCTGTTTTCCACTTTCTAAAAGATGTATTAAGGCATAAAAACACCCGATGTTAAGTTATACGAATTTACTTATAGAAACTGGATGGATAAAATAAAGCAATATGCTACCCGTATAAGGTGGCATGAGAATTTGTTTTTTAAAGTAATTTGGAAACTGGAAAGTGGAGCCTGTTGAACCGCATCATAAAGTCACTCCTGGAGACTCAGAATCTCTGTCCGTAATAGAAATGTATTATGCAGCTCACTGAAGTTGTCTGCAGGTTAAGTTGTGTTGTGGAGCAGGAGGACCTTATCTACCACTGCCAAAGGAAACACTCATAGTTATATTCTGCTGTAGGCAGGCATTTAGGAAGAATGTTTATTCATTGGGGGATTTGATTTTTCTTTCTGAAGTGTACACCTGATCAAAGAAACCCAGCAGAGGTAGGCAGCTTGCTTTTTTACTATGCAGATCAAGACAGCACCTTTCAGGCCTTTTATTTTTAGATGAGATTGAAACAAGTAGCCATATGCTGCTAAGTACTGTATTTCCTGCAGGCCACTTTCCATGCACTTAATTTTGAAATTTTTATATCTCTAGAGTTTCAAGCCTTTGTCACGTGCAAGTTCTTACCTGTTTAGCCCTATGCTTCTGTCAGAGGCTGCTGTGCCCACAACAGACCAGGTTCAGCAAAACATGTGCCTGAACATGGTCATCTACAGTGCAAAGTCTGGTGGTCTGACTGAGAGCTGCCAACTCTGCTGTACAGGCAGAAATCTCCAGGAGGATCTAAAGTGCTGTTGGTGCTAACTTTGTAACCTGGCACAGCTAGCTTGCTAGATCCTACCTGTCAACCCCTTCAAACATAGGTGTAACAAAAAAGAATGACTGCCACATTTCTGAACAAACACAACAGCTACATGGGGTACTTCTGCTGCAAACAAAGGTCCTTTTTGTTGAGAAGATAGAAGTCCTACTGAGGGCAGTTTTATGGACTGACTTTTGCTGTAAATCATACTATTTTGTGCAGTTCTCTGAGAAATTCCTTTAAAGTAGCCAGAGATGGCGCCTGTCTAGCATGTTATGTTACAAAGAAAATATACAAGGCTTTAACAACTGAAGAATGAGAAATCATATGCTGCATTATGTCTCTTTCAGAATTTCCTACCTAAATGTTATAATATTCAAAATACCTACCTGTTAAGTAAGCAATGGGTTAAAAACATCTGTATTTTGGTTCATCACATTGTGAAAATTGAATGATTTATTAATAATATTTCAGCTACATAATTCAGAAATATTGACCTGTCCAGGCAATCTAGAGATTCATATGATAGCAAAGCTTTTCCTGACCTTTACTGAATCTTCTTTTCTGTAGTATAAGTCCATTAACTCCCGTCTTCTCCAAAACAGTCTAGAGAATAGATTATTTCCTATCTTTGTTCAGCAGGCATATGCATACTTGAAAACAGGCACCATCTATTCTTCTCTGGACTTCTTATAACAGAACCAGATCTGTCCCCACCTTAAAATATTTTAATGTAAACCACATTCCTCTAGTTTATTTACATGAAAGCTATGTGAGACCTTGTCAAGAGTTTTACTAAGCTGAGGATATATGGTATGCACTTCATCTTCCTCTAGTCATAGGCCTGGTTTTCCAAATTGAAATTCTGTTTATTTGACTTGTTCTGTGTAAGTTATTATTGACTGCTATTAATTGCTTTGTTTTCTTTTATGTGCTTACCAAAGCTTGTTGGTTATTTATTCCAGCATTTTTTTCCCAGGATCAAGTGTTCAACTAGTAGTTCAAATGCATCTGTATCAAAATTTCAGTTCAGATCAAGAGTGAATTTCTGAACTGACTCTCAAAGCACCTAAACTGTTACTGAGTCCCACTACTTGCTAAAGCAGACATAGTGCATGGTTCCCAGGCTCTTCCTTTCCCCCTGTTTTTAACATAGGGGGCATTTTATCCTTTCTGGTCTCGGTAACTCTACCTGTTTCTGAGATTTCGTCAGCCAGCTACCAAGGATGAAACTCAGCTCTGAGCTAGTTTGAGTACTCACCTAAATACATATTGACTCATTTCTTCCATATTTATACTGATGTCTTGCTCCTGAAGGGACTGTGTGGGTAACAGCACTCAGTGAGATAAGAACATTTACTGTTCTATTCATAGAGCAACAGAGAACAAAACAAAGAATATAATGCTTTCCGCTTCTTTGGAACATTTACCCTGTTTTATGTAATCATGAAGTAGCCTGCAGGCACAGGTTTCCCAGTGTAGAGGCTTTACTGGCTAGTGCAGGACGCATGCCCATGTCACATAACATGGTCAAGTCTTTGACTGTGCAACCTGCCTGCCCCTAGTCTTATCGTGCCCAACTGTCCCTGAACAAGTAGGGCCAAATTGGCTTATTGCAAGGAAATACTGGTATACTAGTAAAATTACTGGGAATAAATCTATTTTAAAAACATGTTCCATGCCATATGATTCCACTGAGGATAATGAAATCTGTGAATTTCCTTTCTGGCCACCATTCAGTTTCTATAAAGTATCACATTGTAGTTTCTCTCAAGAAAGAAGTCCTTTCATTCAAGTCTGTGTGTAAGAGCAAATGAACAAAAGTGGAGGCATTCAGTAGTTCTGTGCTGAAGTGTTACTGTGATCACTGTTCAAAGGTTATAATCTACTAATAGAGAGCACTGTGAAATTTAGCCTATTAATTAGGGAAATGTTTTATTATGCAGTGTGTAACTTAATAATGTGTATCAGACATGGCTGAACAAGAAACCTCACTAGTAATGATGGTTGTGTTCTGCTTTCAAACTAACACCCTCTGAATTGCCAGTCATGAGATCGACCCTGCCCTTTCATCTTCTGAATTACCAGTCTTGAGGTCTTCTCTGCCCTTTCTGACATTCACACTGGTTGCAACACTCTTCACAGGCTTTAAGACATGAAAAGTATGTGATAGTGATTCTCTGAAGCTCACATTGGAGCTTCATGAGCAGAGCCTTGTGGTGTGTTGGTCAAAGCCAAGTGACTCAAATAAAAATGGTAAAACTGCTGTTGACCTAACTGGGCCCATTAATTACTTTTGTGTGCATGGAGTCTAATTTGGTTTATATTAGTAGGGCTTCATAAGTTACTATGCAGGTGAGTCCAGTTTCAGGGTCCTGTCTTTTTCTAGGACATGCCTAACAATGAATACTACAGAAACAGGTAAGAAAGACTCAGTGGAAGTATCTAGTGGAAACCTCAGGGATATGCTACATCTGAGTAAACTGGGAGTTATTCTTTCTAGGTCTCTCTACAGCAGAAGGAAAGATCTAGATCTCCTTTCCTGGCCCTGAGCCATGGAAACAGTGAAATCTGCACAGTTATGCTGAGTCAAACCAGTGTAAAGGAAATAAGGAATGAGCCTGGGAAAGCCTAGCAAATTACCCGTTCCTGTTATCGGAAACTTCATGCAAGTCTTGGGCTATTATAGTCTGTCCATACATGAGAGTTACATGAATAAAAGGTAACATATGTTTATGAAAAAGGCCAAGGAAGTGTTAAAGGGTCTGAGATTCCTTAAAAGCAGATAGGAGGGAGTTTTATTACTTAGAGCTTAGACTTGATCTAATGTATTACTTGGACT